GGATAAACGGGGGGAAAAAACAGGGGGGGGGGGGGGAGGCGTGGTGGGTGGTGATAGTAGCGATTGTGTGTGCGCGCGTGTGGTGGAGGGGTTTTGGGGGTGGTGGTGTTCCGAGTCAAATAAAACAAGCTCGTTTGTAAATAAATAGAAAATTAAATAAATAAATTTATTTATTTGGAGAGATTGCGCAAGGAGAGCCCATTAAATGTCGATGATGTGTAAATGACGATATAAATATTATTTACAGGTGTACAAGAACAACGAACTGTTCTACTACATCGATGGCTTCGACGTTCAGAAGGCAAACTGGATGAGATATGTTAACCCGGCATATTCATCCGAGTCCCAGAATCTAATTGCTTGCCAGTACGAGGTAAATAATACTTTAGAGCGTTTACATATATATCGAGCCAACAGCTTCATAACATATATACGTCTCTTCTTCTCATTCTCTAGATGAATATTTATTTTTACACCGTTAAGGAAATTGATGCTAATCAAGAGCTCTTAGTCTGGTACTGTCGTGAATTCGCCGAAAGGTTAAATCATCCGGTGACAGGCGAGCAGATGCTTCAAAAGATCCGTTAGTATACCATCTGAAAAACATAAAAGACAAGCTTTAGCACCGTTAATGAAATTACAAGTTGTCAAATATTAACAATATCAAACACTCGATTATCCCGGGCAATTTTAATTATTTAAATATGTAACAATAGTGATGTAAAAATCGGGCTTATCCTGGCTAATAAGAAATATAAAGAGTGACCTACTTAATCAGGAGCACTCTTAAAGCTAAACCGTTGAAACCTCTCATTTTCTCTCATTTTCTCTCATTTTCACTGTAAAATTTGAGCACTGTAAAACATTTAGCGGCCAATTACTAAAGCTGTCATTCCACGATTCGTACACTACATTTATGTCCAAACTATTGAATCCACGCCTTTTTGCGTCGTTCTTTTCACTCTAGGGCAACAAGTGCAATCGGCGCACTCGGTCGACATTCCACCAGCAATCGAGGTTGTCTCGACGCTAAAGGACTCTGTGATATACGAGAGGCGCTCGCAAATGACGCCGACGGACGGTAGCGTGAGGTCCGACGAGGGCTATCACTCGAATGGCTATCACGATGAGATTCTCACGCCCCCGGAGGAAAGCAGCGAGTCCGACTCCGAGAGCAATTACGTCCTCGACTTTTCCAAAAATTCAAAGGCCGCGAATAGCGTCGTACCCAACCACCCGGCGATCGGTCTACTCAAGCACGAGAACGACGCGCGCAACGATTACCGCAAGGTCAAGATCAAGATGCTGAGGACCTACGGAAACTTTCAATCCAACAACAACAACAACAACAACAACAACAACAACAACAACAACAGCATCATAATTAATAACAACAACAATAACACCAACGCTAATAATAATAATATCAGTAGCAGTAACAATTGCGGTAGCCACAATAATAATGGTGCCACCGTTGCCGCCGCCGCCGCCGCCTCCGTTACTCCCGCCACCACAGCTGCCGCTACCAACAACAATAACAATAACAACAGCAATAATAATAACAACGTCGTTAGTAGCAAATGCAGCCTCGATATCGGATCGACGAAGGACAAGGAGAGTCTTGGGAGTCGCGAGCAGCGAGCTCTTAGTCCGGATAATCAGCTACAAAAAACGCCAATGGTGCTGCTCTTGTCCTCATCGACGGCTCCCAGTCCCGAGGACATCGTCGTCATTGAGAAGAGCCAATCGAAGCCGTTTTACGAGTCCGAAGCCAAGGCTCTAGGTAGCCACAGTCCCATATCGACCACGATATCCAAGCCGTACATTAGCTCCAGTTCTAATGGCAGCTCATCCATTCTCGAGAACATTTTACTTCGTAACAACGGTAATAGTGGATCCGTCAACAGCACCGATAGCAACAACAATACCAGTAGTTCGCAGCAACATCATCATCATCATCATCATCATCATCATCATCACCCCAATCATCATCATCATCAGCAACAGCAACAGCAACAGCAACAGCAGCAGCAGCAGCAGCAACACCAGCCCCAACATCACCAGCAACACCAATCGGTGCTTAACATTATCCACAGTAGCAATTCGTCGGGAATCGGTAGTTCCCAGCCAATCACCCAGCACGCGGACTCGGTCACGCCTTCGCCCTCCAGTCCCACGGAGATGGCTTACAGTTACAAAAAATCGCATCGCTACAGTAACATTCTACCCTGCAGCCCCGATTCGAGCTCGAACCTGCCCATGCAAACCGAGCCCCCTACTAGCACCACGAGCGCCCATTCGCCTTCCCAAGGTCAAGGCAACGCGACCTCGAGCTCCCTAATACTAGCCAGCCCGACGAGCAGTAGCGGCATTCAGGTTGGCCACAGTACTCTCGGCCATTGCGGCGGCCTTTCCTCCACCTCGAGCCACGTTAAACCAAGCTCGAGCGCCTCGCCCACGGCGAGCAGACGCAAGCTCAAGAGTCCCTCGCCCTCGTCCGCGAGCTCGACTAACGTCGCCCAGCCAACAACGACTATCCTCTACTCGGGAGGCGGTCCCGGCGTCGAGCCCAGTCCCATGTACGCGGCCTCTTCCGTCTCGCCCGTTCATCAACCGGCCTCTTCCTACGCCTACAGCCTCTATCAGCAGCAACAGCAACAGCAACAGCAACAGCAACAACAACAGCATCAACAGCAGCAGCAGCAGCAGCAGCAGCAGCAGCATCAACAACAGCAGCAGCATCAGCATCAACAGCATCAGCAGCAGCAACAACATCAGCAGTCGCAACAGCAGCAACAGCACAACGTCGTGTCACCGCTGTCGATAAACTGCTCGGGTTATTCGCCCGGACCGACACTCGGAAGCACTTCGTACCAGGAGAGGGCTTCGAGCGAGGACAGGCGACGCGTCGAGGCCAGCAGTAGTAGTGGCAGCGGCAGCGTCAGCAGCTGCGGTGTCAGTAGCGCTAGCAGCGATGGTGCTGCCGGTCCCGGTGGCGGAAGCGGCGGTGCTAGCGGCCCGCACCAGCTACCAAGCTCCTCGAGCCTCCAGATTGACAACAATCAAGCCCTGGTGACCGGTACCCACAACCTCCATCTGGGCCACCACTCAGGCCTGACGATCCACACGAGCGCGAGCTCCTCCTCCTCTTCCCATCATGGCTATTCGCCCGTAGGCTCTCTATCGCCCGACGAGCACGCATGCTCTCAAAGTGGCTCCCTCAGTCCCAATTCCCAGGGTGGCTCCAGGGGCTATAGGTCCCTCCCCTATCCCCTCAAAAAGAAGGACGGCAAGATGCACTACGAGTGCAACGTCTGCTGCAAGACCTTCGGCCAGCTCTCCAATCTCAAGGTCCACCTGAGGACGCACTCGGGCGAACGACCCTTCAAGTGCAACGTCTGCACCAAGAGCTTCACCCAGCTGGCCCACCTTCAGAAGCACCATCTCGTCCACACCGGTGAGTCCACGTAGGAGCCATTTTTGTCCGGTTCCCCCCAACCCCACCCAACCTCACCCAACCTCCTCGCAACAAATCCAGAGCTATTACGTACGAGATGACGCTTGCTCATCCGCTGTTTGTTTCTTTTTTCGTGTGGCTGCCGCAGGCGAGAAGCCCCACCAATGCGAGATCTGCAAGAAGAGGTTCAGCTCGACGTCGAACCTCAAGACGCATCTACGACTCCACTCCGGCCAGAAACCTTACGCCTGCGATCTCTGCACGGCCAAATTCACGCAGTTCGTCCACCTAAAGCTCCACAAGAGGCTGCACACAAACGAGAGGCCCTACACGTGCCAAGTTTGCGACAAGAAATACATAAGCGCGAGTGGCCTCAGGACGCATTGGAAGACGACGAGCTGCAGGCCGAACAACATCGAGGACGAGCTCGCGCTCGCTACCGCCGTCGGCTCGCCGACCTACTACGAGTACGCGCCCGACATGAATGTCGGTGAGTCTGAGCGAAATTTTTTTCGTTACCACCACCGCCAACACCACCCTCCCACTCATCCTCTACCACTGATCACCCGACCCCAGTTGTTAATTAATAGCGACGAATCCATCCACGACTCATGCACGCGACTGTTTTGTCTGTTGCAGGTAACATGCCCACCTCTCTGCACAATTTGGAGAACTCGGTCGGCAGGCCGAGCGTCATCGAGACCTCGCAGCCGCACATTATCGAATGTACTTAAGGCTTCTTGCCCCGCGAAACTTCTTCCTATATCCCTCAAGTCTGAAAATTTTAATAACGCAGTATGTATAGCCAGCCGCCACGTCGCACAAGTGAGGTACGGAGAGAGTAGGGGATAGGGGAGCGCGCGAGGACGGCCTCGCGGGTACCACATTGACGAGGTCGTGGGGGTTCCGGGCGATTCGATGGGACGGCGCGTCTCCTCGGAATCGCGCGAGCGCTCCGAAGACGGCTACCTCCGGGTCCGCGCCCTGGACGACCCGGGAGGAGAGGAGGGTCGTCGAACGGATGCAACGAGCGATGACAAGAGTAAGATTTTAAATGATAATGAGACGGGAAGAGAGGAGGGGGCGGATTTTGTCGGCGTCCGCCGGGTAAATGACGAAGGAAGGGCGATTTTCAATCAAGTAACCAGTGACGACACGACTGCAACTATGCGAGACCTGTACCTGTAAATACTAACATTACTATTAATTAATCGATAACTCAAAACGTAACTTAATGCTCTAATTTATATTAAAAATTAAAAAAATGAAAAGTCTACGCGTACGCGTCGGTGATACGCGTATTATCGTCGACTGAAGTGCTAACGGAGGAGAGTTTTGAGTAGGGAAGGTGAAGCGTAAAAAATTGTAAGAAAAGGTAGAAAACGAGCAAAAAAACAAAAAGATAACAAAAAAAAAAGTGAGCGAATGCGTGTGTGTACGCATGCGTGCGTGCGTACGAGATAGATTGAGAGATATTGAGGGAGAGAGAGAGAGAGAGAGAGAGAGAGAGAGAGAACAAGCGATCGGTAGGCTACGTCCCTCGCGTTCGGTACCTTCGAGGCGGAAATTATTTGTCTACGCCTGTGCCTAGGACGTAGCTTTTTGCTAAACGGCGAGTGTCCGCGCGTGGACGATCGCCTCGCGCACGCATCGTGCACTTTACAGTCGCGAACGGGAGCGCGCACCAAAACCAGTTAAATATTTATTATTATTGTTAAAGTAGTCCTTGCGTCGAAGCTAGTCAAAACGGAGCAGCTATTGTGTCGCGTCATCCTCTCCTCTAACGACCACAATCAACCTTATCAACTTTATTCCCAAGACTTTTATTAACTCCTTTCGATAAATTCACATGCCTGTGTATGTGTGTAGGTAGGCACGTTGGTGAGGAATATTTAGAAATTCTCTTTGTCAAATTTTTGGACAATCGGTAGCATGCAATGGAATTTTCGCGAAAATCCTAGGACACCTCAACACGGGTTATTTAACGATCGACCTCATGCAAGGACTACTTTAAATCTAAATTCAAGTCAATTAAATTACTTGAAATTTATTTAAAATATCGAGTATATGTGATCGATTATTTGATTGGTTTTTTTCATGTACGATTTTTTTTTTTTTTTTTTTTTTTTTTTTTTTTTGTTGAAATTTTGTAAATGAGGTAAAGAATGTATGATATACGTATAACTTTGGAAATACGATTTGCACAAATTCAATACGTTAAATGAGATGTGCGATGTTTAGCCAGTATTTGACGACAAAAGACATTCCGTACTATTATAAATTTTAAGTTTTATTAGAAAAAAATAAATAAATAAATAAATAAAATAATGAAAAAAAAATTCCGCCATTCGTGTCTGGCTTTTACATATTTTGTCACGTTTCGGAGCAACGTTCGATACCTCAAACTCATCAACCTTTGTATGGAACTAATGATACGGATATCGTCATTATTATTGTCATTATCATAATCGTCGTCGTCATCGTGATCGTTATCCTCATTTGTCATTATTTTTATTCCAACAACAACAACAACAACAACAAGCACCACTACTATTATCATCACTACTACCATCCCTATCACAATCACCACCACCACCACCACCAGCACTACAATAATATCACTATTATCATCAGCAGCACTACTACTCAATCGACCATTCGTTACATTTTGTTCCAAGCTATTTCTTTATGCAATCTTATCAATTTCGATGTCCCATGCGACTCTTGCTCCGAAATGTGGTGTAAAAAAAAAAAAAAAACAAAAACAAAAAACAAAAACAAAAAAAAAAAAAACAAAAAAAGAAATCGCCGGCTCCTTTTGAGAAACGAAAATATAAGAAGGAAAAAGAATATAATGACAGGACTTTATGAATTCGTACTTCCATTTGCCTCAGTAGCCTAATAATTTTGTAAGTGTGTGTGTGTTTCAATCGGACTGTGTCTCAAGGACGAAATCGCATCGAACGTAGCCCACCGCGCAAAGAAATCATAACTCAATGTGTGACGGAAAACATGAGAAAATCGCGGAACGCTCGCGTAGTCGCGTCGACTCGGGAAATCGGGAAAAGCGAGTCGTCGCGGCTGCGCGCGAAAATGTTCGAAAAAAATGGTGGAATGTAGCTCGTTACAGGGCGACTGATTTTGTTTTTGCTGAAACCGGTTATATATATTTTTAATAAGAAACACACCGAGAAACTCGATATTACTTTTCCAGTTTATACACTTACATTTAGCACGCACTCACGCAGCCGTACATACCTTACATGCATAAACAGAAAAGCATACACAAAACGCAGAGTTTCGGAGATCGTGATTTTTAAAAAAATTTCTTAGTTTATACTTTAATACTCAGAGAGCATATTATACTTTCTAAAGACGATCCAAATGGCAAAAATGTAATTAGTTTGTAATAGCGTTTCTTATTCTATACTAATTGATACGGTGCTGAAAGAAAAGTGCGATGTATTGAAGTGTTTCTTTATATTGAAAATTCAGAATCTATACATAATCATGCGTGTATGTATGTATGTATGTATGTATGCATGTATGTATGTATATATGCATGTATGTATGTATGCATGTATGTATGTATGCATGTATGCATGTATGTATGTATGTATGTATATATAAATACACACGCGCGCGTGTGATGTTTAATATATAACGATATGCTACTATTGAAAATGTTATTCACGAATATTATTAAAACTTGAAAGACTTTGTTTTTAATAGGAAAGGAACATTTTAATGTAATCCTGCCTAACTATTGGATTGATTTAATTAGAAGTGAACTATTACGACCGACTTACGAACACATCTATACATCGATTGTACACTTTTTACATTATAACTTATAAGAATGAGCGATCGTTTTCAAATGAAAGTATTTATTTAACGGATACACTCGCTAAGATCAGCGTCTCCGTATTCTTTTATTAATTCTTCGTATGGATCAGGATTCTTACACGATTTGGGAAATTCAAAGACTACGTAGTTTGTACAATCGCGCACACCGAGTCAAGAGGGATGGGTCCGGGTCCGCGTTTAAAGGAAAAAAAGACAGCCGCAGCGAAGATTCTGTAACGAGTTGCTTATAATGTACGAAATAACAGGCAGCGTCGACGTTTCGGGCATTCTACGGAATGCCAAGGCCAAGCAATACCTACTTAAAATGATGTACCCAGCATATACTAAGGACTTTTTCCGTTCCTCTTTTTTGCATCTGATATTAAAGGGGTTAAGAACGTTTTCAAGGCGGTAACAGCAGCAGCGGTTTAAAATTCAAAGCCAAGATATTAAAAAAAAGAAAAGAAAAAAAAAAGAAAGAAAAAATTTTATATATATATGTGTGTGTGTGTGTGTGTGCGCGCGCGCGCGCGCGTGCGCGTGTGTGTATATATATATATATATAATTAATAATATAAAAAAATAAAAATAAAATAAAGCAAATAAATTAATAAAAAAAAATATATATATATATATATATGTGTGTGTGTGTGTGTCAGAGTGAACGGAAAATGAAATCGTCATTACGATGAGTAAAAAAAGAGAAAAAAAAAGAAAAAAAATATAATAATATAGTAAAAAATACAAAAAAAAAAAAAAAAAAAAAATCAAAAATGAACGCTACTAGGTGCTTATAATTACGTCTTAAAACTACACTTATTAATGAAATAAGTCGATGCGTGGAGTTCAATACGAATTATCGACATAATAAATTTTATTGGGAGGCGGTTTCCTTTCTTTAGAATTCGCAACAATTGCAGCATCGAGTTACTAAACTATTATTATAATTGAGAATAGCTTTGCGCAAGTACGTTGCATCAAAAACGAATAATTAAAGTCACACACGACACTTATCTAATTGGCTTTCGCAAAATTTTGAATTTATGGAGAAAAGAAAAAATGGAAAAAAAGACTGCACATTGCGCAGGTAGAAAGTCAACTTTAGGCTTAACGTTATTGCTTATTTACTGCTACAGTATGCAACAATAACTTTCGTTGCACTACCCGGAAATACCCTTTAGAATAAAAATAAAAATCGGCATTCTGTAAATTGCCTCCGATATATCCGACCTTGCCTGCATCTAACGCACCCGTGAAAATACAACAACAACAACATAATTGATGAAGGAAATTCGAAAATAGGAGACAAATGTTTGAGACGATAATGAACAATAGGCGAAAAAAAAAAGTAGCGACTGTGGGTCGGGAGAGGGGGAATTATAGTGCACGAAAGAGCGAGACGGGTGATTTTCATTGTAAATATAAGATATTAATGGTAATATTGAAAGTAGTCATCAATCGAAAAATGAGGAAGCGAATGATCAATTGCCTCGGCAACGGACAAGCAATATTTAGTTTTTATTGTCTCTCGAGTCGATGATAAAACAATAAAAATTATTAAAAAAACTACCGCTGTACTGTACATCGCGTGCACGCGCACGTTCGTATTTAAACGACTATAAATTAAATGTTAATTATCCTTATACTTCGTAAATAATAAATTGTTACGCATTTATTATCATTATAATTATGAACTAGGTAATGCTCAATTAGCATTTGTTTCTTAAAAATACAGAATAAATATATGGCTGTTGGATATTTACATCAATTGTTAATTATATTTACCACCTCCAATTATTATAGTTCGACGTTTTAGTTTGTCTTTATTCTTTTATAAGAAGCTTAGCAATCGTTTCAATAGACATTGTTTATTATATGCGTACACATATCTCATAATATTTATACGCATATATATATATATATATATATATATATATACATTATATATATACATACATATACACATACATATATCATATCCACATGCATCACCCCATACTCACACGCGCACGCGCGCGCACACTCGACATATGTACGTTATCAATACATAATTTGCATACGGGCGTGTATTTATGCAATTTTGCATGCGCGCGTGTGTGCAATGTGTACGAATACATTGGCTGGAAACACGAAATTTTAATTTCTAATGGTTCGTCATTTTGGTTAGTATTTAAACTTTGTCAAATATGTTTTTTATAGTTTTATTGCAAATTTTTCTACAATCACCAATGGTGTTGGTGTATCGTCGTTTACAATTATTATAAATAATAAAATATCATAGCTGTCGCTCCTTATTCGTTACAACACATCATTATTAATAATTACTACTACGTTGAACTGAATTCCTGCTTCATTTGGAGCTTCGGCTATTTATAGTAAAATTCATTTTCTTCATGGAAAGACTTATTCCCTTCATCAAGGAATTATAATAGCTTACATTTCTTTACAAATACAAAAAAATCTTTCTATCATGACCTAATATGCTGAATTATATTTTAGATTGTGAAAATAAAGTGTATACATAGAAATGAAAAAAAAAAAGAAAAAAAAAAAAAAAAAATTAAAAACAAATGCTAAAATGTTTAGCAATGAAATTATTTCAATTTATCTCTTGTCTATTATAATTAGGCAAGAAATAATTTGTCTATTTGCACAGTGAGACGAATGGTTCGTATGTATAGTAATTAGAAAAATAATACAATTTTTTTTTTCTTTTCCTGATTGGAAATAATTTGCTATGTAATGAACCACATATGTCAAGTGGATTTGGACATTCGAGTATGTAAAGTTGATGCAGCTAACGAATACCCTGCAATCAATATTGAAAAATTTTGTTCACAGTTTTAACCAACAAAGTTATAAAATGCAAAAGGCTGAAAGCTATAAAAATAGTTTCGTTATAAATGCCACGTGTTACGACAATCATAATGACTTCGACATTCAGGAATACAACGACTAATGTTTATTGTCAAGCGAATATTACCTTATCAAGGTACAGGACTATCAGTTCCACTTCCACTATTGGTCCCTGCTTCGCTCTTCGTTACAGATAATCTGTCTCGTTTTGTACTTTTTGACAATGACGCTACTTCTTTTAACAAAGTAGAAATTTTGTGCTGCATACTAGATATTTTATTTTCATATTCTTTTTCTGAGGTTTTCATTTTGGTACGCAACTCAGTTTCTGAAGTAAAATTTTTTGCTTTTAACTCAGTTATCTGCGAACAAGATTTGTTCAAATAATATAAGCTTTGTTGAAATGAGTGGAATTTATCTAACACGAGTCAGAGCTTACTTGTTTCTCTTTAGCGAGAAGCTGACCATCTTTTTGGGATATTTGTTTCTGCAGATTTGAAATTTTTTCTTTGAGCGATGTGACGGCAACTACGTGATCTGAAATATTAGGATCATGAGGATCATGCACTCCAGCCATTCTTGCCGCTTTAACGGGTGTCGGGCCATTACTGTCACCTGATTCTGACTGTGGTGGAAGTTTTGTCACGTCTACTCTGTGTGGCCTTTTATTGTGTCCTTTTAACCTTTGATACATCGAAAGTAATATATATGACGCACTATCGAGCCGTACAAATGTATTAAAATTCTCTTAAGCTTACTTTTGTTCTTTATGCTTCGCAGCTCGCTGTTGAACCATTTTCAAGTGAGCTTTTCGGTCGGCATCCGACTGTTTCGTCCTTGCAAGAGCTCTTTTATACGATAATGTGCACAACCAGCATAAAAGTTTGCCATCGACCTTAAAATTGCAAAATAATAATAATAAGGGGGCGAGAGGCGGCGGTGGCGGTGGCGGTGGAGGAAGGAGGGGGGGGGGGGGGGGAAAAAAAAAAAAAAAAAAAAAAAAAAAAAAAG